TTGTTATATAGTAGGCTCTATATTTACTGTAGAACTGGCTGTAGTTCTTTCCTGAGATGAAAAATTTTTCAGCACTTAACATTTCTAAGATACTTTGAAAAGTATGCTGCTAAAGATCTGTGTTCAATAAAAAAGGGGGTTAACTGCCATTTGCCTTATGGCTACCCTGCACAACTGTGGGGGGTTGCAGACTGCCAGAAATAGTGCAAATTGAGTCCACTTTTAGGGTTAGGGTTAGGGTTAGGGAATCATGGGAACTGTATTTTATTGTGGCACCAGAGCTCTCTGACAGAGAAGGCTCAATGTCTCAGGAAAAAAACAATTCCCATGATTCCCTAGCACTAACCCTAACCCTAAAAGTGGACTCAGTTTGCACTATTTCTGGCAGTCTGCAACCCCCCTGTATCAGGGAAAGAGTCTTAAAGGCCATGTCAATAAATGTTATTCACCTTTCACAACTTACTTATATTGTTAGAACAGTGCATTGTGATTTTACAGTGTTTTGTTTTATTTTTTGCACATGCATTGTATACTCTCTAAATTTCTTCATGTCTTTTTGGCCTTTGATCCATACAACTAGTAAGTGAACCCTGCAGGGAAATCATTAGAGAATTGGAACAGTTGTAATGGGAGACTGAAGGGTCACTCTGTGTGACCTTCTCCTTAAAATGAGCTTACTGTTCCTCTGAAAACAGGTCAAGTGTTGGGGAGAGTTGGCATAGGCAGAGAGAAGCTTATAAAGGTCATCAGTTGAATGCATTGTTTTAATTTGTGAGTCAAATTGTTCAAGGCCAGTTAACTTTTGCTCAGATAAATAAAATTAATTTAAAACCTGCAAGCATAAATTCTTCTGACTCTTAGGCTTTGATCCTAAGTACAGTTATATGGAAATAATTTCCATTTCCTTTGGGACTAAACTTCTAAGTAAATGTGTTCTGCACAGAGGTTGTATGCTGCCACATCAAGATCAAGAAACTTTTTTAGTCTTTGAAATGGTTGTCTGTTCATTTTCATTTTTGCAAATCTATATTCTTTTCTGCTATCCCATTGGGGGAAAAAATAAGAAACAATGTATTGCTAATAGTGTTTTAAATAAAATGTACTTCTGCAAAACATTACCAGAATGTAAGTTCTAAATACTTTGGGGGATTTAAGAGAGTATTTAAATAAAATATCTGAACTGAGATGGCCAATTGGCAGGCTGCAAGACAGATGCAGCACCTTACCCCAACATTTCTCTGCGACCCCAGCTTATCTTACAACATGGTTTCACAGCAGTTTAACTCAGAAAAAGAAGAACATTTGGTAACAGATGGTGTTACTGGGGCTAGTTACAGGAAGGACTTGGCTTCCTTGCTATAACAGCTCCACTGAGCACAATCTGAGCACAATTCATAGTGCTTGTTAAGACCTATAAAGCCCTATATGGCTTAGGTACAGACTTTCTGACACACTATATCTCCTTATATATGCTGGCCTAGGCCTTAGATCAGGGGTCGGCAACCTACGGCCCGCGGGCTGGTTCTGGCCCGTGGACCGCCGCTTACCGACTCCTGCCGCCGCTGCCCCCACCTCCGCCGTGCATTTTGGTGGCCGCCATTTTGTTTTCCAAAATGGTGGCCGCAACATGCGCGAAGGCAGCGGCGGCATGCGGGGCGGGGTTGCGTGCAATGCCATTATCCTCCCTGGCCCGCCGGAAGGTTGCTGACCCCTGCCTTACATCCTCAGTAAAGTCTGTTTTATTCAGGTCTGTCAGATGGGGACTTGTGGTAGGCCCTTCTGAGTAGTTGCACCTAGGACCCAGAAGGATAGTGGATACAGGACAGAATTAGTGAGGAAGCTCAAACTAGCGCAAGATATCAAAAATCATGGAAGCCCTAGTAATTGTGATGATAATCATTCATAACATTCTAGCACAGCCTCAATACCAGTGGTGCCACTAGGGGGGGGGGGCAGTGGTGCCCCAAAAGAGGAGTGACACACTGCTCAATACCCTAAAAACAAACTGTATTTTCTGTAGGACAGCAATGTATACCTTGCGTCATCCTTGTGCATCTGATGGACTTCTGTTAAATTAATGAGAGGTGAACAAAAGGAACACAGGGACATTTCAGTCCTTGATTTTAATAAAATCAATATATTCAGAGTGGCTTTTGTTAATAATAATAATAATAATATTAATAATAATAAAATTTATTTGTACCCTGCCCCTCTGCGTAGCAATCGGGGCAGCTTCCAACATAAAAATACAATACAGTAAAATCAGCCCTAAGCCCTTGTTGTTTTTGAAGTGTCACCAAGTCAACTCTGACTTATGACAACCCTATGTTAGAGATTTCTTGGCAAAGTTTATTTGAAGGAAGTTTTCCATTGCCTTCCTTTTAGGCTAAAAGACTGTGATTACCCCAAATCACTCAATAGATTTCCATAGCTGAGTACTAGGTATTCAAGCACTATAGATGTTAAGAGTCCTAGCCCAACACTCAAACCACCACACCTTGCTAGTTCTCAGACTGTATTATTGACATCTAACGCCCTTGACTTTTAGTGGTTCGTGTAGAAGGCAGCATTAATTTCAAAGGGAAAATGTAGTGGATGAAAGCCCGATAGCCCCTTACATGAATGGATCTGCATTTCTGCTCATGTAATGGGGTTGAAACCCTGATTTCTGCTAATTCCCCATTCTAGCTGTAATTCCCCACACTTTTTGGGCACTTTTATAAAATGTCCTCATTGTCCAGCTAATAATAATAATAATTTAAGAGAGTCTCTCTGGCTTTTCTTCGCAAACGAAGATTCAGGAAGGACTCATCCCACGCTTTTTGCAAGCGTGCTGATGACTAAAAAGGCCAATCTGAGATAAACAAGTCCGATATTTTAAGCGAGTAGACCCATGTTTAATCATGCATAGGGAAGACCCACTGAGATCTCAAGGTACTACATGGGAAAGGAGAACTAGGAAAGCTCCATTGGGCAAGCAGATCCCTGGTAATTCCTTTCTAGATCCAAACCTAGTTGAAGAGCTCATCCAAGAAATCCTACAGTTTATTTTTTAAAACCTCTGGTGCACACCATTAAAGAAGATGAATGCCAATGTATGTTAAATTATAAACCCTTTTCAAACCCAGTCTTTTTTGATTTAAGATTATTCCCCCCCACATTTGATCCACATTTAGAAAATTCATACTGCAGTATCAGCATAACATGTATGCCAGTTGCGGTGGCTTGATGGCCATAATGTTACAAATACTGTTTTAATTACATTACTCATATAACTGAAATGGAGATATTTATTGCATTCTCCTAGCAACCCCACTTTTTTCTGTTATAGTAGACAATGGAAAAATCATAGAATTGGAAGAGATCGTAAGGGCCATCCAGTCCAACCCCCGCCATGCAGGAACTCAAAATCAAACCATCCCTGACAGATGGCCATCCAGCCTCTGTTTAAAGACCACCAAGGAAGGAGACTCCACTACTCTCTGAGGGAGTGTGTTCCACTATCAAACAGCTCTCACTGTCAGAAAGTTCCTCCTGATATTGAGTGGAATCTCTTTTTCTGCAGCTTGCATCCATTGTTCTGTGGTCCCATTCTCTGGAGCAGCAGAAAACAAGCTAGCACCCTCCTCAATATGACATCCCTTCAAATATTTAAAGAGGGCTATCATATCCCCTCTTAACAGTCTCTTCTCCTGCCTAAACATACCCAGTTCCCTAAGTCGTTCCTCGTAGGGCTTGGTTTCCATACCCTTCACCATTTTTGTCACTCTCCTTTGGAAACGCTCCAGTTTCTCCACATCCTTTTTGAATTGTGGTGCCCAGAACTGGACACAGTATTCCAGGTGAGGCCTGACCAAAGCAGAGTAGAGTGGCACTATTACTTCCCTTGATCTAGATACTATACTTCTACTAATTCAGCCTAAAATTGCATTAGCCTTTTTAGCTGCGGCATCACACTGTTGATAACTCTTTTTAGCACCTCTGTTAAATGGCAATCCACAGCTGAGAAGTGTAACATTTCTGTTGCTACTAAAAATATATTCTTATAACAGTAACACTTCAAATCTGTTTGTGAATTGCTTGGCCCCTGGAATAGAATGACACCTTCTCTTGGCAATAACCAATGTCCAACACTTGCTCTCTGTTTTAGGACATTGACTGCTCCAAACTCTTCTTCCCCTGGAAATGTTGTTACTAATCGACAATCTTGTTCTGAATTCTGAAACTGTGTAGACCAATTTTGCACTGTTTAAAATAACTACAGAGAATCTTCCCATGGAAGATGCTGCTCCATCTACTGACACTGAAAATGATGAGTGGTGTGTAATGAAAGGCTGCGGAGCCTGGAGAAGCAATTATTTGAACACTACTCCCATCCTGACATATCAGTACTAGCAGCATAACTTCCTTCACGGGAAGATAGTCAAGATAAAACTCTTTGGGGGGGTTACTTAGGCTGTGCATGTGAAAACATTATTGTATTTACCAGTCTCCCCCATTCCCACAGGTGTCATGTTTTGAAAAGTAGGCTGTTAAAAAGGAAATCTACCCATGACCTTTTAAAAGATAATAATAAATGGCAACAATAACTACTATTATTAGCCTTATTGCCAGTACCCACTAGAATGGACCCACTGAATCAAATTTATATAAACAATGATTAATCAGATGTGTCCAGTTGAGATTAGCAATTATTATTATTATTATTATTATCATCATCATCATCATCATCATCATTATAAATGATGTGCTGCCAATCCAGTGTATACCCATCATGACTTCACACCTTCCTTATATTTTTCTCAGGAAGAATGTCATTTTGGCCTGTGCTTTGCTTATTCTGTTATTGTTGTTGTTGTGCACCTCTAGGTCTTTTCTAACTTATAGCAACCCTAATGCAAAACCTATCATGTTTGGGGTTGCAAGATATGTTCGGGGGAGAAGGTTTCATATGAGGCTGAGAGAGTCTCGCCTGCCCAATGTCACCCAGTGGGTTTCCATGGCTGAGCAGAGGATTTGAACCCTGGTCTCCAGAGTCACAGTCCAGTGCTGAAACCACTACACAACAGTGCCTCACTTATTCCTCATCCCATAAAACCTGCCAAAATTAAGATGCTACACCAGGAACTGCAAAATCTGTAATTAAAATAATTATCTAATGTACATTTCAATGATTTTACATTGTATTATTTACCTTGCTTAGAACTGGTGTGTTTTCATAAAACTGGGGTTTCAGGTTATTTTTTACAAATAAAAGCTGATCTGTGGGAACATAGTGAGGTGACTGGCTTTTTTTAAAAAAAAAAAATCACAATACATTAAAGGCTTTTATCAAAATATTAACCATTGATCAGAAAGGAGACTGCGGCCAAGAAATCAGAAAAATAAGACTGGGGAGGACACCTATGAAAGAATTAGACAAGATCCTAAAAGGAATTCCTAAGGGAATTATATACTATTCTCTTTAAATTAATGCAAATATTCGAGTAATTTTCACATTGAACTTTGAATGTGTTTGACTATAACATTTAAACAAATTAACTAAATCAAATAAAATTATCTAGCGCACTGAGATATTTTTTTTTCTGGAAAACGTACATCATGGTATTTAGCATTTCATTTAAATGTCACATTCTCCAGTCTCATGCTTCAGAAGAATTTACACCATGAGTTGAAAAATTACTGTTCAAGTATTTTAAATTGTCATAATTCAGCAATGTTGTGTTTCCCTCATGTGCATACTCCATAGCTCCAGTATTTTGGGGAAAACCTGTACTAGGAGCCATGGGAACAATTGCATGTCAGAAAGTTGTTTCAGGCCTGGCAGTGGGCTTTTCCCAAAAGTGACATAAAAAAAAGTTGTGTG